CTCGAACCAGCGGTCCAATCCGTGCTCGTCGTTCTCGTGCGGCGGCACGCCGTAGTTGCCGATCAGAGGGTAGGTGAAAATGAGTATCTGGGAGCAGTAGGATGGGTCTGTGAGGGACTCCGTGTAGCCGACCATCCCAGTCTGGAAGACTGCGGACAATGGCAACGTTAGGTGTGACTGTGCGCTGCTGTTGGGAAAACTGCAGATGGTAACACTATACTACGTGCAACCGTATGCATTAGTGTCAGGAAAACTCTAAATGAGAACAGCGTATTACATGCAACCATGTATAAATGTTTGGAAAACCAAGGACGAGAACAGCATCAAGTGTATCTATGTATGACTTGAATTGTCTGAGAAACTAGGATGGTATTGCATCATGCATGTAGTCAGATTTTGATATAGAAACTCATCACAGGAAAACTGCACACGTGAAAGCTTTCTGAGTGGAAAGACATTTTAATTTTAGGTTAGATTCTAGCACTTATAATTAGAAAGGGCAGTTGTCGCCAACTACATGTATCCCCCGTGATCTAGTATGAATGAAATATCTCTGTAAGAACGTAGAAGTTAAATAGGTCACAAAGACAAAGGTTTGTTACACAACTCATCTGCCTGAGATGTGCAAGTATGTTAAATTGGTTGCCTTAGAGGTTTTGGTACATGACACACCTTCTCCCCAAGATGTGTAAGTATACGAAGTTTGCTCGCGCTAGGTCAATTAGAGGCCGAGTTATAGAGCGGAAGGAAAATATGATGAAGGTCAAGGTCAAGGTCAAGGTCAATGTCAAATAAAGGTTGCAGTGACCTGGTTTCTGTACACGACACACCTTCTCCCCAAGATGTGTAAGTATACCAAGTTTGGTCACGCTAGGTCAATTAGGGGCCCCGAGTTATAGAGCGGAAGGGAAATATGATCAAGGTCAAGGTCCAATAAAAGCCGCAGTGACGTGGTTTTAGTACGCGACACACATTCTCCCCAAGATGTGTAAAACTTGTATACGAAGTTTGCTCGCGCTAGGTCAATTAGGGGCCGAGTTATAGAGCAAGAAGAATTATGTTCAAGGAAGGGCGTTCAAACCAATTACTTTTTATGTTCAACTAGACCAAATCCGGGCTAATATAACTTGAGGAAAACCACTAGCCTGGGACCTAACTGTTCACTAGCCAGACCAGACCTCCCCATTTTTGTATGAAAAAACATTTTATTTAGATAGATGCGTGGTGTCCCATCGTGTATGAATTCATTAGAATTCTGTTCGCCTTTAAATCGCGGCTGTGCCGAGTTCACGTTGGCCCAGCAATTTCGTATTCTACCACGGGCACAAGGGCTCGAATTAAGCGAAGAGAAAGAGCAAAGGAATTTTTTTAGGGCAAATGTGGGAGAAATCGCCTTGAATTTTTCCTCTTAAAAGCGAAGGGCACAGAGGCATTTTAAAAGGCACAATGGCCAACTCCTCCAAAAATTTGAGAAAGGGGGCACAAAGGCTCAACTTTTGTAAAATAAAGGAAAACTCATAGAACACATGTAGTACACAACATCGTCCTTGCTCTTTTAATGTACAAAAACAATATGGCCCCCATGTTAAGCTTTACACTGTAACAGTCGAACGCTGTACCCCCTCTGCGTAATGGAAAGTACAGTTAACAAGAACATTTTACATGCCCCGCCTGTGAAAGTGGCTTTGCAATTGTTTTTTTTTTTCTAGGGGTTTTCTTGAGTGGGATAGAGAACACGGACTGCTTTTAAAAGAATCAAATGCGCCTGTTTTTTATTGACTGGTTTTTAACACTGGTTTTATACAGTCTGCAAACTAATTCCCTTAATATGACCGCATGGTGGCAGCAACCTGACGGGTTGTGGTATTTTAGAGTTAGGGATGGTTTTTCCATCTATATTTAACCAATACCCATCCTGTTTTTGGAAATGAAACTTTTTACTGTAAGTTTTTACACAATAAAAAAATTTGTCCAAAGATTTTGTTAAGTGAAATGAATAATATTCGACCCCTTAAAGTAAAACTCCGACCGGAGTGGGCCTATTTGAAAATTACAACCAGCTAATATATATATAGAAAATAAAACAAAATTCTTATCAATAGAAACCTTCCGTGGAAAAAATGGTTAACAGAAATATAACCAACCTTTGAAATAATTAATGCATTACCTTTTGCAAATCCCAGGATATATTAATCTATCAAGCCATGAATGTTTCTCCTTTCTCATGCCAACCCTTACAATACTGAGAATTTTACACTGGTTGGAAATCCATGTATATTCCAAACGCTAACATAAAAGAACTGTAAATTTCTGCAACAAATTTGAAAAGAATGGAAAAAATAATGGGTTTTCCCAACAACAGAATAATCCCTGGCCCTTATTCCAAATAAACTGATAGTTTTCCCTTGAAACCTGGATGGGTTAAGTTTCTCCGTGCCCGGTGATTGTGCGGGGCCGCGGGAGTCTGGACCCAACTATTTCAACCACAATTTATCGGTTTAGGGTGATTCATCCCGTAATAACCTGGGGGGTCAACATCCGGAAGCCCGTTCTTCCGGCCGTAACTGGGTCCATTTCCCCGAGAATCAAGGGAGTCCTGTTTGAAAGTAACTGGGCAGTCTCTTGAATTGCGAAGGAGTTTTTCGCGTTATGGCTTAACATCACAGTCCGAAGCCAGTTAACCAAAATACTCCCCTTTTTTTTCTCCTTTCGTGATCGTAGAAGAGGCTCAAGGGTGGAAGACGTTTGAAAATCCCATTTTTCCCCCGCTCCGACCTGGTTTCCCCTAAACCAGTACAGAAATGCCACAGGCACCATGTTTTTAGGAACTCCGCTGTGTGGGGTCGTTTCTCTTCCGTTTTTCCGCGTAGTTCTTCGCTGGAAGGGTTGTCCCTTTCGACATGACTATCCCTTCTGAAATGACCATAAATGGCGGGTCCATTTCGTCGATCGTTGACAGGTTGGACAACAGATGGAAAAATCCAAAACGTCATTTCCCCTATTGGTTCAGAGCCCCATGGGACCGGAGGAAAATATTTCTCGGTAAGATGAGTGGGTGTTGGGCTCGATAAACCGCGCTGAAGAAAAAAATCTGTAGAAGCTCAGATTTTCCCAGCTATTGCCCCCCAAACTCCTAATGGCCTTCATGAGCCGGGTTCTTCATTGAGCCGGTTCCCGGCCTTCACCAATTTAGCCCTCCTGGATGGTAGTGGGGAGTTACCTTCCCTGGTTGTGTGGGAAATCCCTTGAGATTCGGCGTTATTCTCCCGGGAAGTTCCGCCTGCCGTTTGAAACGGCAGGGTCCCCATTATCCCCGTGGCCGAAATTTCAACCTTGGAACAACCAAATGGGCTTGCAAATATCCTGTCAATCGAGGAATTACAGAGCAATGAAAAGCAAGATGTTACTAATGTAGTACGTTCGACCTTCGGGATATCTTCGATGGTCCATCGGATACCCACCCATGAGATACTCAACCGGTAGGTAAACGGTCCCCGCACCAAAAAGTTCCCCCAATACTGAGTCCCGCTCCCCACTTGTTGAGTTTTGGAGGTTTTTTGGGTGGTTCCATCAGTTTAGAGGTTCCGCCGATGCTTGCTTGGTGGGTATTAGCTTGGCCATAAAGCCAAACAGTTCTTCAAACTCACGTCCCACCAGGTTTGTCGAATTCCTGAAGAACCAAGGTCCTTCCAATAACGAAGGAAGTTTGCTTTAGTTTTTCTGGCCATTCCTTGATGACCCCGAATTGTGGCGAGTTTAACAAATTTCAAATTGTGTAAGCGACTCTGGAACAACGATTTTCTTGTTGCCACCGTAGCAGTTATTCCAGCTTCCGAACCACCGATAAATTCAAGTCCTGAATTTGTTGAAATAGTGGGCCTTGGCAAACTTTTTAAATCGCCGTTCCTTCACAAATGTTCCGAAACCAACCGACGCATATCCCGAGAGGCTTCTTGATCACACCACTCAATAAGCGATCAGCTTGCCGTGGACTCCACCAATTCCTTGTCGCCGATTAATAGCTCGAGGAAGTTGAAATTACCGAGCACAAAGTTCCCCACATGGAGGCCCTCAGAAATTCGGTCGATGTCCCACGGGTCCTGGGATGGTTATTTTGGTGGGTTGGCGGGAACCATGTAAATCCGCCGGAATTGGAACTTTCCCTGGAAGAATAGGTTCCACAGTGGAATTTGTTGTAAATCCCCGTAACTTCCAATGAGGCCAAACGTTCCCTTAATTAACGGGGCGGGAGGTTTTCGAGTTCCTTCTTTTCATGAAAAGATTGGTAACGGAGGTTGCCTTGTTGATCCACTGACTCACTTCAAACATGCATAAACCAATATAGATAATCCCTGAAGTTGGTTGCATGCCCCAGTAAGAAAAATTAGCCAAACCCACGCCCTCACGTTCATCTTGTGAGTAAGCCCCCCGACCCTTTTCCACCGGTGAACCAAATAGCTCGGCTTTTAGCCATACGAAGATTCACACGATTATCTCTGAAGTGAGAATAGCACCCCTAATTCCCCCAAACCGGGAAAACTTGGCCCATCCCCCACCAATGAGTTGTTCCCCTTCGGCTGGAAAATCAAAATAAGGCCCCCATTACCTCCTGTCCTCAATGATTAAGTCTTCAGTTTATCGAAACCGACAATTGTCAGCTTTTTACCCCATATCCAGGGCCTTGATCTTACCGTAGTCAACAATGCGGAAGCGGCGGCGGCGGACTGTCGCAGATTAGAATGGAAAATCCGCGACACGTAACGTAATTCAAATACCCATGAACGAAAAGCGAACCCCTCTCAGCCTGACTTCGGCTGCGCTGGACTCGATGAATTGCCTTGTACCTTCTTTGGGGAATCTGGCCCGCCCGTCATACCGGAATGGGCGCCGAATATTGAAAACCGAAGAAATTCCATCTCGGTTTTTTCCCCCACCTGAACACCTTATTCCCTAATTTAAATGTGAGATTGTTTTCCGAATTTTCAGTCCCTATCCCAGTTAACAGCCTTTTGAGAAAATCATATTGGGGGCCTTTTTTCTTCAAAGTCTTCGCGAACACCCCCCGCGCATGAGTCCTCGCTGGATTCATTTAGCACAAGCCGGGAAATGCTTCCAGTACCTGAGATATTGCCCGTTCTTGGAAAATCCTTCAACTGGGCGCAAGCCTAAATACCCGCAGTTAAAACGTTTAATACCTGCCGGGAGGACCAAACGTGAAAAGTGCTGAAGTTGTCCAGAACTGGCGGTGGAAAAAATCGGGGTGGAAGTTTTCCCAGCCCTGATGGTACCCTGATTTTAAGGTCGAGCTTTTTCCGAGAAAATATCCTGGAACCGTTTACGGTCAGCGATGATTTCTGTGATCCGTTGGGGAGGTTGGATTATGGCGTTCACGTGAATGGCTTTGTTTCACACCACCTCATATCCACACAACAACCCTGATATCCCAGAGTTAGCCTTGGGGAAAACACACACAACAGGAGAATACCCAGAGTGGGGGTTTGGACCAAGGAATATTGTGCTTCAATGAATATCACTACCTTCCACCCGTTCCAACTTTCCTGAAGCTATCTTCCTTCCTCCAGAGAGTCATGGTAACCTCCTATGGAAGGCCTGTGCAACAGGGCCAATAGCCGTTACTATCTCACATGTAACCTAACCTGAATAGTTTTTTCAGGCATTTTCCCACCCACTGAAACAGTTCCATCCATATTATACGAGAGCGACCTTGAGTTTGAACTTTGAAAGGTCGTCTGGAGGCTGAAAAATGGTCACCTGTCCAACCGGAGTTCAGTGGAGAAATGCCCCCAAAAAAGGTGCCTCGGCAGTCCGCCCGACTGCAGCAATGCCTGTTTGATCGCCATCGAACCACGTAGATTGGTTCCGCTATGGCTGTTTCGGTTCCCCACACGAACATTCGCTTTGGAACTTCCCCTTTTCTGTAAAATGGCAAGGTTCCTATTTGGGAACTCATATATGGGGTACAGTTTTTTGAAACAATCACTAGGCTTCAAGACCATGCCATTTGTCAAAAACCCTGAAAACAAAGTTTTTTTTTCACTAATGATATTTCCCTGGGGACATTCCTGAAATCTATCACCATGGGCTTGGATTCTTCTGACCCTAATATCACCCAAGGGGTGAAATCTCGGTGGTGCGCGCGGACGTCCATCATTTTCTTTTAGCGAGTTAGATTTCGTCATCTGAAAGCTTTTATGTTCTTGTATGTGGCGAACACTTCTTTGTGGGGAAAATTCTTCCCGAAACCCCCTAAAACTTTGGGGGCCTTGGGTGGATGGGCTTTGAAATTTTTGAAATTGTTCCTTGGAATGGGCACAACTTCGCAAAAATGTCCCCCCGACTTTACACAAACTGGAACAGGTCTTTATTCCGCGAGCGGGAGCCATGTTGATGGAATGGGGATTATTACCCCGCCTCCCGCAAGGGACCCAGCCATTGTCCCCTCGCCGACTTGTTGGGTCTTCCTTGGCGGGAAGTTTTGCAGCGGAGTTCTCCGTTGCCGCTGAATTTTCTGAGTGGTGGCTGGACTTGTGTTGGCTTTTACGTAACGAATGAACTATCCTTACGCACGAGAAATTAATCCGGACTCTGGCATTGGCAAAGTTCATGGGCCCCTGGCCTTCCTTCTTAACAAACAAGCCGGAGCGGCCAAGTTTGTCACGCGAAAAGATTTTGTTCTGCCCTTATCTTGAACGTGAAACCGCCGACGTGGTACCAACAGGACAAGTCTGGGAAGTCGGAACCCTCCTTTAATCCCTTGGCTTCAATGGAAGTCACAAAGAAAGTTTTGCCCCCTTCTGTAAGTTAGCCTTCCGTTGTGGAACCGCGTCGATTTGTCTTCCCCTGGCAAACTGTTCAATCTTCCGAAACTCCCTGTTCATGTTTGTCAAGTGGTTTTTTACGCGGCTTCATGGGTACTTGTTCAGCCGCGTTTAAACGGCCCTGCCTTGTACACATCATCTCTGCCTCCTGCCCGCCCAATCAATGTCAAAACGTTTCAAACGTATCGGTACAAATGTTCCCCTGCAATAAAGTAACAGTTAAAAGGAGAGCCTTCCATTCTACCTTAATCCATCAACATTCTCATCCCTGGGTCATCAGGTCTCCGAACCCCTCAGCCATTTTCCTCCCAGCGTAAGGGCCTTGGGTTTTGACGGATCCCCTCCATAACAAGTTTCAAACGCCAACATAAACGTGGGTAAAGACCTTTTGAGCCATGATTCCCAGAGATTTTTTTTCCCTAAAAGTTTTTTTTTTTTTTTTTTTTTTTTTTAAAAAGTTTCCCTCAATAATTTTGAAAATAAATACCGAGGGTCCCCAGAGTCCTATGCGAATACAGGTACTCTGTTCATTTTACTTCCGGCCTGTCCATTTCCGAGCGCGATGGGGGTTCCCTTGCCAATCAAATGTGTGCACGGAGCCGTGATCCACGAGGAAAAAGTCCCAGATCCCTATGGAGCAGAAATATCGCCCTGCAGACCTTTCGATTATAAACTCCGTGTAATCTTCAGCCGTTGATCCTTCCTCCGAATTATTGTCCAAAGCAAAGAAACCTACGGCCCCCCTTTCTTCATAGAACAATATATCACACTTTTTCTTCGTCCGCCCATTGTAATGTTTTTTGCAATGTTTTCTAGGGTTTTTCTTGAGTGGATAAGAGAACAGACCTGCTTTAAGATTTCATTGCCCTGTTTTTAATTGACCTTGGTTTTTTAAAAACTGGTTATACCAGTCTGCAACTAATCCTAATATAGAACCCATGGTGGGCAAAGCAACCTGAAACGGTTGGTGGGTTAAAGATTTAGAGTTAAGGGATTTGGTTCCACTAAATATTGACACCGCTTATCAGGAGCCGAATAATTATGTTTATTATTCCTCCTGCGACCTAAATCGTTTTTAAAACTCAAATCCATGCAACTTAACAGCACGCCACGCCCGCACGTGTTTTTATTGTTGGAAACTCTACCTAAAAACGAAACTAGGCCCAGTTATATTAAAGGGGCCAAAACCGAAACGGCAAAGTTAACACAAAAGGGGGTTCAAAGGCCAAAGGTGGAACCTGCCCCGTCCGGTTTCCCGGGGGTTGGGAATTTTCCAAGAGGCCCAGTTCACGCGATTGGAATAGGGGCACCGACGGCAAATGCCCGGTCGGTTGGCTTGGTGTCCGGTTTAATTCGAGCCCTGCCACGGGCAAACCATTAAGCGCGGCGGTTTTTAATCAATCAATCTTACTTGCCCGGCTGCCAGCAAGCCCCACCGTTATTGTTTTTTTGCCCGAAAGGTAGACCTGGTACTGGGCCCTCGACGCCTCCTTTGCTAGACAATGTTTTACAAACGCCTCTGCGACAACAGTGGCGGACCCGCTGAACCAGTTCCTAGCCCAGAGGTGAACCTTTCATAGTGGCAATCTATATTATGACCAATTCCTTAACCCCTCGAACCAGTCGGGCTTTACTTAAGCACTTTCCCCGCTTTGTAATGCGACCGGACCCAAGCAATTTACCGCAACTAATGGTCCGTCGGACGTTGGTTAAGTGTTGAACCCGTCAAAGGTCAAAAAGGTAAAAGGTCAAGTAAAAGGTTTGGGTAGTTGAACCTGGTTTTGAAAATACGCTGCAAACAACACCTTCTCCCCCAAGATGTGGTAAGTAATACCAAGTTTGGTAAAGCGCCCGCTAAATGGTCAATTAAAAGGGCCGAGTTTATAGAGAAGGAAAGGGAAAATATGATTCAAGGGGTTTCAACATTAAAAAAGGTCGCAGTGAAACCTGGTTTTTGGTAACGCGAACACACATTTCTCCCAAAAATGTTGGTTAAGGTATAAGCAAAAGTTTTTGTAGCGCTAACGGTCCAATTTAGGGGCCGAGTTATAGAGCCGAAGGGGGGGGGGGTAAATATTGAATCAAAAGGTAAAGGGTAAAAAATAAAGTTTTGTTAGTGAACCTGGTTTTTTGGTACGCTGCGCACCTTCTCCCCTAGATGTGTAAGTAGACCATGTTTGGTCACACTAGGTCAATTAGGGGTCGAGTTATAGAGCGGAAGGGAAAGTGTCTGCGGCGGCGCCGAGCGGCAGCGGCAGCGGCGGCTGAACAGACATGAAACCATAGTATCCCCGCCGACTTCGTCGCGGGGGATACGATAATTGATCAACTTCACCATTAACTTACCAACTTCACCAGCTATGCTTTTTTCAGCCCCAAACAATGTTCCCTCAAAGCAGGAACCATCCTGAAGAACAAGCTTGCCCTTCATCTCGAAAGTATACTTCTGCGTTTTGTTGCAATGCTCTGAAAATGCACATTTCATAAAAATATCAGTACATTACACATAACTACGAATTACAGTTGATTTTAGCACACAGGTAACATTCCGTCATATTATATCAGTAAAACAATCCGATTTTCACGAGGCCAATCGAGAAATAGGGAAAGCAGAGTCCAAGGAGAACAACAACCTGCTCAAACAAAGTTGGCGGGAATGGCAGGAACCGGTGTCCCCCGAAAAGTACATCTCCCCATATGGGAAGTGCCAGCTACAATTGGAAGATATGAAGAAAGAAACGAACATCGACATACACAATGTAGAACAAGGCTTCTCCTATACAACCTCTCTCCAACCAGCCAGAGAAGCACTGGACTGCTGGAATTCACTCGGATCATCCAAGTCCAGAACAAATCAACAACAGTTGGATATGCTAAGGAGTTGGTGACATGCTGAGGAAATGCCAACCACGAACTGCCATAGCTTTTACGGATGGCAGTTGTCAGCCGAACCCATGAAGGCCCCTGTGGTGCGGGGAGCTGCATTTTGCTACCAGATAGTGGGGTATCGGTGGAACTCTCCAAACCTGTCTCTCGGTCATGCCGATATAGAGGGAAATGAAAAGGCAGACAGATTAGCGAAGGAAGCAAGCTCTAAAGCAGCAAGCATGGAGGAAACAGGAATAATTTCCCAGAGTGACATCAGGAGTGCAACCAAGACATCGGTACTGTCGTCTAAATGGCAGAGACAATGGGATGCATCAGACACTGGCAGAATGCTATACCGATTCAAGCCACTGGTACAGAATAAGTCATTGATATATATACTTCCCCAACCCTTCCATATATACAACTAGAAACGAGCAGTTATCGCCAAGTACATGTATCCCCGTGATCTAGTATAAATAGAAAGAGACATAAGAACATCCAGAATGGCGTTTTGCAACGTTCAAATAGTATAGCTGTTTCGAAATTCTCTTATTTTAACGTATATTTCGAGGTAAATAGTAATTAAGAAGTGTAGCGATAGTTGCAACATGTAACAGGTGAGGTCAAATGTGGTAATACATTGTTTTATTTACGAAATTTTACGAAATTTTACGAAATTCGGAGTTTGTTTTCAAGCTACCAGGCATTTCGTATGGAAGGGTGTCAGGCTCCTCCGCCGTGTAACAGTCGGAGAGCCTGGTCGGTTTAGCTGACTAGATGACCGGCGTATGGTCTTTTCGCCATCCCTTCACTGCACGTTATTTACATTTTGTTAAAAAAATCCTTGTATTTGCTGATATTGAAAGTAATAAAATAAATTCTTATCTTATCTTATCTTATCTTTTAATACAATATTCAATAATGCGACTTACAAAACAGTTCATATACTTACGACGTGTTATTCTCGCGCGAAAGCCGGTTTTACGCGCGTTTACTGATGATAGTCGGATCCCTGCCCACTTCCGTTCTGCTGCATTCCGTTACGAAAGCACAAGAGAAGTATGGCGTGAACCAGACTAAGTCATTACCGCCATTTACTGGACAAAATGTAAGAAACGTGGTCGTGCGCCGAATCACATTGATCGTGACGTCAGCGTAGCGATCGAAGCGCCATCATCATCATGGCACCCAGAAGAGGGATTACTCTAGCGAAAACAGACTTTCCTTTATATGTTGTCCGTTCTTTAGGATGTAATTATTTTCTAATAGCTGGAGGTGGTGGATGTGCAAAAACAGGCGTTTCGAACACTGTGGTAATATGTCTATCGCTGGCAATACTAGGCTATCAACAGTATATGCAATCAGTAGCCGGTTATCAAACCAGCCCAGGCTGAGGCTTGATTCATGATTGAATAATCGAAGTGTCTAAACAACCGGATCCGGTTTTGGTATCCTGAAAACTAAACAACCGGCTCTCTTCTCTGATTGGCTAATTTTGTCACTATTTCATTTATTATTATTTTTGGCTAATTTTATTTTATTTTAGAATTAGGCTAGGGTCCATAGGGATAGGGTTAGGGTTAGGGTTAGGGTT